CCACATACACTCTGCCTTATTCTCAGATAGGAAATACATTGGCTTAGCTTTTAACTACTTAAAACCAGCCTTAGCACAACATAATGCAACAAAAATTACCTTGTCTACTGCTCGAACTTCAGAATAGCAAAAGAAGACCCCAGATGGAAGTGAGCATTTAATTCAGTAGAAGCTGGAGCAGAGGAAGTACTCACTCATCTGTGGGAAACCAATGCAAGACACCCATTTCTAGCTGATAAAACAGCAAAGGAAATAAAAATAGAGCCAGGTGCTTCCTACAGCAGAAACCAAAGTAACAGGGGAATGCGGCACTGCAGAGCAGCCCACTGCCTCTCACAAACCACAGGCAGTGCAACTTTTGACTTGGGTGTTCACCTGCAAATGCTTATCACCCTGTAGCTGCAGCCAGCTGGGCACCTAGACAAGGAGTATGCAACTGCTGGTACTGCAAACACCTCTCTTCAGCCTCCTGCTGCCAAACAGAGCTACCTACCTCTCCACGCCTGGGGGAAGGCCTGCCAGCCTACAAGCAGCAGAGAGGTTTGGCTGCCTCTTCTCCACCAGGAAGGCTGTGAAAAGCCTGAGTGAAAGCAGAACACAGACTGACAAAGTGCAGCAAACCAGATGGATGGTTAACCTGCCAGCAAACTCAACTGGGCTGCTGTTAGCCACCTGTGTAAATTGTGGGATTTGATTCCAGCTGCCCTCACAAGGCACGACCTCCCTTGCAGGGTCAGAACATCAGCCACCCTCCAGACAAAATGACACAGCTACAAGAGGTCACACTTTTCACCCTCCCCCAAGAAGACAACAAGCCAAGAGACAACTCACAGCATATAGGTTCTCTGATCCCAAATTCAACATCTGCCCACTTTCCATTAAACCCAGAATCACTTTTGTACTTGCTCTTTTGCTAAGGAAGGCACTAGCTGTCCACTTGCCTGTTTTGGCATAAACATAAACTGAATAAACATAAATACATAAACTGCATTTACAGTGCAATTCAGCTTGGAAGGTGCCTCCACACTTCTGTATATTTTCCCAAAATAAAGTATTCTTGCCTAGGAGAGTTCAAAAGAACAGTTGTTCTCTTCCAGAAGATATACATATGGCACTGAATTTCACTGAACAATTGAAAACAGTGCTTTGTTCTACTGAACCATGCTCTGGAGTTGCTTTACTGATGATAAAGCCACTGAAGAGTTTTCAGCACTAAGGAGTCTTTTCAGCACTAAGGAGTCTTTTTAAGATACTCCTTAGTCCTAAAATATTAAGCACTTTTAAATAGATTTATATTTCTCTAGGGTGATCTGGGTAGGATTTGCAGCTCACTGCATTTAAAAGGCCTTTGGAATGATCATAAAAAAACCAAGTTTCATATTAGTACACCTGAACAGAAAAAAAACCCTAAATATTTAAAGGTAATCTATACACACCAAAAATCATGTCCAGGTCCCTCCCTCTAATTACTTTAACCATCACACTAACGTATGCAGACACCTACACACTAACACAAACCCATTCAGCTGAGATAAATTACATGACTTCAGCAGAGAGGGGCTTCCTTTCCCAGAAGTTATCTTGAGCACTAAGTGAGGATCACCTACCTACCTACATTAGTTTTACAGCCAGTAAAGAAAGATGTTCTCACAAACAAATCTGATTCTGGCAATTTCTGAACTGCAGGACTTTGTTGCTTCTGGCACCAAGTGAAGATCCTGGCAAATTCTTGACAACATGTCAGGTGGAGACCAAAACATTACTCCTCCCTTACTCAACACAGAGCTCTCCACTACCATCTCCCAAAGACTGCCACAGCCAGAGACCTGAAGCAACAAGCACTCTACAAAGAACATGGAATGAGCTCCTTCTCCAAATTGCTTTTCTGAAGGGTGGATCTTTTCTCAAGTTGACAGATGAAACATAGGAAGTTAGTCTTCTTCACCTATAATCCTTTGAGAATACTCCCATCCCACCTAAGATGTCTGTTGCAGTGACACAGCTGAGAGTTTTACTCCATTTTAACACAGGCTAAAACCTCTTTTCATAAATAAACATGTTATTAATTTAGACAGCAAATAAAAAATAGAAATATTGCTGCTGTGCTAATAAAATGTTGCAAGTACAGGCATAAAAAGCTGTGTATTCAAGTGAATCAAACTTCTCATTTCAAATGCAGTGACTTTCTGTCACTTTCAGACTGACTACTATCCAAGGCAATATAAATAAAATGGGGATTTCCACAAAAACCCACCAGACTATGCTCTACTGAAAATACATTTACATTGTGCTTATTAGAAACTTATGCATAACCAAGATGTGTATTCTTGCAGATAGCTTTCTACGGAAACTTTAACGTAAAATATGCTTTCATTATACCACAAACATTTAAAAGTTGAAAATATATGTAGCACAACAGCCCAGTCTGACCACGCTGGAAATATACAAAAGTTTGACTGTTGAAAGGTAATAGAAATACCAGTTCACAGACACCACACCTATGTGAAATAGTAACTTTTAAGTATGACCAATAAAAGAGCTCAACACTAGTGAGATTACGTCACTGTTTCCTGCCTGAGAAGAGGAGCTATTTTAGCTAAGTGAAGCTGAGCAGAGGAAGTCTAAACTTTCTACAGATTTGGGGCCATGAAAGAAGCATCTCTGAAGAAATTTTGTAGAGCACAAAAGGTTAGTAATGATCCCTTATGCCGTGCTAACAAAGTAACTTGGATGTTCATATATGTTGCTAAGAGACTGCTCAGAAGCAGAACATGGGCATTAATTCTAGAACTAATGAAAAGATATTTAATTTTTAATGCACTTTCAAAATATCAGCAGCATTCTATAAAGAACATTTAAAGAAAAATTATTGCATTTGTAAAAGCATAGTACCATAAAAACTGTTGTTTAGGATTTTAACAAAAATTTTAAGAGTATGCAATAAATGAAAACATTGGTAAGTACATTTATCACTAAAAGAAAAATGTTTGTTTTCATGAAACAAAAACCAGGAGATCATGTTACTTGGTGTCTCTGTGCTTCACTGAAAGCCATGTTCTCCTTCGGGAAATGCAACCAAAGATAAGGGACAGACAAAGTAAAAAGGGGGATTGGGAATGGAGACACACACATGGTTCTTTAAATGGAACCACTGTTACCTAACACACATTAAGAATCTGGAGGAAAATATTTAATTGTGATTTTGCTGTCAACGTATTGTTCTCGAACAGGGCACATAGCTGGCCTTCACAATTCACATTCAGAATGTCAGTTATCATTAAAAAATTAAAAGATTGATAAAACATACAGACAAACAACAGAGGAATCTTTCAGAATTAACACAGACCAGTCTTCCAGAAATCAGTGACTCCAAGGGCTCTTCAGCAAGTGCTTTAACCAATACCAGTAAGTAAATATTTGCATTATGAAAAATGGCAACTAGGGCAAAACCATCCACCCAGAGGCACCCAAAGATATGCTTGGGCTGACCTGGGAGATATCGACCTGAACTCCACGCAGACAAGTACCAACAAAAAAGCAAAATATCTCAAATTGTGTACAAATGCAGATAGGTAACATATGCTTTTTAAAAATCTCAATATTTCTTACCTACATAAATGTTACATTTTAGGTTCTTAAAAATTAACTGGCATGCATTTAAACTCACAAAGTTGGGAAACAGTCTCCAAAAACCAAGCAAAAAATAATAATAATGAAAAAAACAACAAAAAACAACAACAACAACAAAAAAAACCCTTTCTGTTACAGCAGGTCAGTTCTTTGATATATCTCAAAACTATCACAAACTTGAAATAACCAGCAAATTAGGCATGAAAAGTAGATCACACCAGATTCAGCTTCCTCTCTTCCTATCAAAATCAGGCTACTGGTTATTTTGAAAACATGACCTGACCAGAAATAAATACAGTCGCTCTAAGTCTGAAGCAGACAAGCAAAATCAAAACTAAAATCCATGATGTTTCTTAATATTTAAATTAATTATTCTACCTGTCTTATACATTACTACTCAATTCATCTGCCAAATCACTCAGGACATTGAGCTTGGTAGTTCTGCACTGTCAAACACAATCACTAGCAAGAGAGAAAAAATAACAGAACAAAAGAGAAAAAAACCCACTTACAATGTGCAAGGGTGGGGGGAAGTGTATATTAAGCAACATTTGGACAATTTTGTGCAACAGTAGTGAAAGTGGAACAGTGTGCCAGACAATATTTTAACTATGCTGCCAGCACATGCACAATACTTTTATAGCATATGCCATCTAACCTTCAATAAGGTTTGCTAACATTAATTTTTTTTTCTTATTTTTAGAATTCTTCATGCAATGAGGAATTTGAGAGGCATTTATGCAGATGCCCTCCAAACCATTCTGTATTACATATATGGCTTTTCCCATACAAAACATAAATTCTGTTACATGTTCTAATGTCCTCATCTGAGCACAAAAACATGCTTTTTTTTTCGTTTTGTACAGCCAAAAAAAAGACCTTGAAGTTAAGGGTTAAATATTTCTATGCATAACTTTAATATATCTGTAAACTGAAGAACTGTAAGAAAATGAGAAGCCCAACTTTATATTTCAAGGCAGAAACTAACTTATATAAAGATTTAACAGGTCATATTTAAGTTAGTTACTCCGTGGTACTCTTCTCAAAAGCAGCTGGTATTTGCCAGTGTCAAACCAGGATGCCAGATTAATAAACACTGGTTCAATCTCCTATGAATTCCTGTAGCACTGAGAGCATTAACCAGATGGGCAATAGCAATAAACCTGGTTTTTAATGGATTCTTCACTTCTGGAGATAAAACACACAGGATCTATGCACCCTTCTGCTCTTGAGAACAGTTCTGGTGCCTAACAGATACTTACAACTTCCTTGTCTGTTTGTCACAAGTGGGAAGATCAGACAAACAACTAACTTGTTCCTCCTCCTCTTCACAAAGCTGCCACAGGGCTGGGTAAAAGGCCAGACAAGAGGAACCCTCCCACATAAAGTCATGAAACTGTGACCACACCAAGAGCCAGGAAAGTGCTGGGGGTGAGGGTTAAACAAAGCACTCATGCAAACACCAGGTAAGGTCTGCCATCCTCATGGGCTCCAGAGAAAACTAGGGATCCTCTCCTTCAGCTCTCATCACCTCAGCCTGCACAGTGACATTTCAGATGTCCAACTCCTATGACCAAGAAGCTGGATGAAGGAACATAACTTTGCTCTGGGGTAGCTGTCCACCAGACAGCAACTTTTCCCCCCAGACAAATACTGTCCCATATGGCCTGACTGGAGACTGTGCTGCTTTCCTCCTTTTTAGTTTTTGAAACAGCAAGTCTATTAATCTATTAATTTTATGCATATGTTGGGTGGGTGGTTCTGATGCCCTGGGATTAAACACTGTATTAGAAACTATGCAGATACTCAAAGAGTTTTTTTAAGTGTCTTTAATGAGCAAGCACCTGCTCTTTTGGGAGTTAAGTAGGTCCTACACAGATAAAAGGCAAAGTCAGTACTCTTTGCATATCCAAATGTCACTACATGCCATGCTGACCTGTTTCTATTCATAACTAGTTTTAGTCAAGAATTTTTTAACAGAGACAGCTTGAAGAAATATTTTCTTTAGAAAGTAGCTGTCGTAGCTCAAATATAGCTATTTCAACTATCAGCTACTGATGCACACCTGAAATGTCAATCTTGACTTTTTGGTTCCTTATATTAAGAGACCCTGTAAGTAATTAAAATATTTTATTAAAACATGCTTATAAATACTATTTTCACAAGTCTGACAATACATATCTTTCCCTCGGAGGATGATAATGTATTTGTAGTCAGAAAAAGCAACAAAACAGCACATTTCAGAGCTAAACAATAGTTTCATCACTAAACACTATCCTAAAACAATCTTCCTGTTTGTTTTTAAAGACAGATTTTATTTGACTGAGAATAACTTCCAATATTTTATCTCATTTTAGGGGATTTATGGAGTGCAACAACTATTCCTAAGTTTAATTAAACTATGATGCCAGAAAATTCCCACCCAGAAGAATACAGGATTGCATCACTGGTCTTCTACAGCTTTGTGTTCACAGTGGGATTGCTGGTGAATGCCACTGCACTATGGGTGTTCAGCTGCACTACCAAGAAGAGAACAACTATAACTGTATATATGATGAATGTCGCATTACTTGACCTGGTTTTTATATTTTCCTTGCCTTTTCGGATAATCTATCATGGGACAGAAAAGTGGCCTTTTGGAGATACATTCTGCCGGATCCTTGGGGCTTTCACTGTGTTTTATCCAGCCATTGCTCTGTGGCTGCTGACTTTTATCAGCGTAGACAGATTTATGGCTATTGTTCAGCCCAAACATGTCAAAGAACTAAAAAATACAAAAAAAGCTGTGCTGGCTTGCACTGGAATCTGGATAATGACCCTCTCAACAACATCCCCATTGGTGTTTTTACGATCTGATCCAGACCAAGCCTCAAATTTCACTACCTGCATGAAAATGCTTGATATCGTCCATTTAAAGGAAGTAAATACATTGAATTTTTGTCGCTTGATTTTTTTCTTTTTGATCCCCTTGTTTATCATGATAGGGTGTTACCTGGTCATTATTTACAATTTTATTCACGGCAAGACTTCCAAACTGAAGCCTAAGGCCAAGGAGAGATCCATAAGAATTATAGTTACTCTGATTGCTCAGGTACTCATCTGCTTTGTACCCTTCCACATCTGCTTTGCCTTCCTGATGCTGCAAGATGAAAACACAAGTTACAATCCCTGGGCAGCGTTTACCACCTTTCTCATGAATCTCAGTACATGCTTGGATGTTATACTGTACTACATTGTTTCCAAACAATTCCAGGCAAGAGTCATCAGCGTAATCCTTTATCGCAATTACCTCCGAAGCATGCGCAGGAAAAGTTTTCGAACTGGAAGTGTGAGATCACTCAATAATATGAACAGTGAAATGATATAAAAAGAGAAAAAATGTCAAGGGACTTTCACAATGTAAACAAGGGATTCTTTTTCCAAATTCTAGCACTTGGCTACACAGAAGGATGTTCTATAACCAAAGGTAACAGATATATTTGTTGCATTGTAAATACGATGGAAGCAGAATAATAATTGCACCTCTTTTTATTTTTTCAACATCTTTTGCTGTTTCACCTGAAATGAACTAAACCTAGCATCAGTGTCAAACTTTCCAATGCTTTTATCACCTCAAATGACTGCGAATATTGTCAGATGAGAAATTGACTATTAATATAATAAAGCAGACAACACTGAAGAATTATGATGCAATGCATATATGAATTTTTTATATTTGCATAATCAAATGCTCCTGAAACTACTGTATATCCCACATTTCTAAAATTAATTTCATTCTCTCAATATCAAATTCATTATGACTTCATGAGAAAGTATATGTAGGTAAAATTTATCTTTTACTTAATTAAAAACATCCTTGATGTAGATTTCTTTTTAATTTACTACATTATGCAGTCATAAAAATACCATCAAAGCGTAAAATGTTTAAACTGTTCATCGCCTACCTGTGGGTATGATGTGTACATTTATAACACCTTGCTTTTGCACAAGGTATCTTTTTACATATAGGAAAATATTAATTTCTCCAGACACATTAGCAGCCTATGTCCTAGCAACAAACTCTAGGTAACAAACACGAGTAACTGCAGTAGCTACTCAAGCTTTCAACTTCTTTTGAATACTCACACACTAAAAAAATAAATGTACTTTTGTAATATCAAACACATGTTTTTTGTCCCTTATAAATCAGTCTTTAGATACTTTCAACAGATGCACTGGAAAAGCAGAAATAAAAAAAAAGGTCAAATATGGTGTTTAATATTAAAAATCTTACTCCAAGAGCTTTTATTATCACCTCAGAGTGTACAACACATGGAAACTCAAGTCTCTGTGATCTCACCTGCCAGAAGTTTAACCACAAAGGGCTGCAAGCTCTGTGGTCCTACTGTAATATGCACACCTTTTATTAACTGCAGAAATCTCAAACACAGGCTATGCAAAACTAAACCACTGCACACCTTAAAGTTGTAAGAACTTCAGCTGCAAGCACAAAATGGAGTAAGTAACAAGCTTTGGCACTCAATTTTTGAAAAACATACTAAATACCAATACAAAATGCATATGCATTTAAAAGGGAACATAAGCACATGATTTACAGTTCTGTTGCCTTTCTGATTTAAGACAGAAATCAGCACAACCTGATTCTAGTTTTTACAAATTGAATGGATCCAAACAATTTAGACTGAACAAATACAGCAATAATTTGTGTGCTGCAAGCCATGTTGCAATCATGTTAACCAAGGAAATGAGATTAATGGATTGGAAACTAATCATCGTATGGATAAATTATAAATTAAACACAAATCATAGCTAAGAAAGAAATGTTTGAAATTACAGTAGTTGTTTCAAGAACCTTTACACTTCAGTTCAAAAGAGGATTAGATTAATTTGAAGTGTTAGATGAAGAAAGGTTTTTTTAAAATAAAATCTTCAGAAAACAATCCCTTGGAACTATACCTAAAATAACCAATTCATTAGAAGCTACTTACAAACCAGAAGGCAAGCTGTTGATGGTGATGCCAAATATATACTGAGTGATTTCTACAAGGAGAAGATCAAACAAAGCTGAGAGCATCCAAGCGCCCAATAAAAAAGACTGGAAAGAAAAAGGTTAATTTGAATCAATTCAACAGTTTCAAAATAAGATTTTAATATACCTCTAAATATAAGAAAAAATAAGAAAACCCCTATAGTAGTTCAATTAAGACAAATTCAATCTGTAACACAACGTAATTCCAGGTCCACTTGTCTATTTAATGAAGAATCAAGAGTAAGATTGTTTCCAAAATTAAATTTGATGGGTCTGATATCTTACAACTGATACAACTGCAAATAGAAATTAGAATAATCCACTGACTGCAAGGTATTATCAATATAAATTTAAATTTATTAAAACCAAATTATCTTTACAAGCTTTTAACACATATTTCTACACAACATGCTAGAAATAAAACTGCAGTATTCATCCAAGAGTACAAGACTAAACTGTATAGAAGAGTTTCTATTAAAAAAACTCAAAAAAACTGGAACTTACTGAAAATTTTCTGCTGCCATATCTTCTTTCAAATATTCGGAAGTTGTAAATGAGCAGACTGCTGCAGAATGTGTCTTTCAAATCAAGACATATTGTTCTTCCACATACAAGTCTCCAGATCTGGAAGGTTAATATCATCATGTTAAGTCACTCCTTCTTCAAGGAAATTCTTTACAGAATTTGTGCTCAGAGAGAATACAATACTGGAGTCAGGTAACAGAAATGCAGCACAGTTAAGGAGGCAAATACAGAGAGTAGAATGTTATGGAGAGTCTCTTTATTTTAAAATATTTTCAAAGCAGATGTCTAACTGTTAAAATAAATAAACAATTGAAATTAACTTAAAATACACTTTGAGGTTCCTAGTTTACACTTACAAATAAAAATGTAAATCACTATGCTAGTGAATTTAGAAGTACAAAGAAAAATATTTTTGAAGCAATCTCTAGATACAAACTAGTACAGTGTAACTCTTCTAAGAAGGTCTAATCAGATCAGCTTGCTCAGGGCCATGTCAAATTGAGTCTTGAACATCTCTAAGGATGGAAACTGTTCCTCTGTTCCATCAGTCTTACAGTAAAAACCTTTTCCATTAAATGGGACTTCTTGTATTTCAATTCATGCCAGTTATCTCTTGTCCTTTCAGTGGACCTGGCTCTGCCTTTTTTTCTCCCTGTAAATTCGGTATTTACACACACTGGTAAGATCTACCCTAAACCTTCTCTTCCCCAGGTTAAACAATCCCAGCTCTCTCAGCCTCTCCTCATACACCAAATCCTCCAGTCCCTGACCAGCCTGATGGCCTCCACTGGACTCTCTGCAACATGCCAAGGTCAATTTTGTACTCAGGAGCCCAGCACAAGGGACAACACTTCAGACTGCTCTCACTGAGACTGGGTAGAGATGATCACCATCCAGGCCTCCTTGTGAGGCTCCTCCTACCTAATGCAGCCCAGGATGCTGTTTGGCTTCTTAGCCACAGTGCTGCATTGCTGCTTCATGTTCGATTTAAGCCTCCACCAGGACCCTCAGGGCTTTTTCTGTAAAGTGATTTCCAGCTGCTTAGCCCACAGCCTGTACTGGTGCATGGTGTTACTCCTCTCTGATGCAGGAGTTTGCATTTGCCCTTGCTGGACTAAGGTTCCTACTGACCCTTTTCTCCCCTCTAAATGGCTGCAGAACTTACAGGTATAACAACTACAAATCCAAGTTTTACATCACCCACAGGCTTGTTGAGAGAACACTATGTCCTACTGTCCAAGTTATGAATGAAGACACTAAACAGTATTGGCCCCAATCCACTTCACTCACCCTTCTCACTATCCCATGTCAACATGCCCCATTTTAAATCCTAGCCTGAGTATCACCCCTCCTGAAGACTGGCAGGGTCATGACCCTGCAGCTGAATATTTCATGCACTAACTGAGCAGCTCTCACACAGACTATGAAAGGCTCCTAGCCTTACTGCTCTTTGCTTTAGCCAGCTTCAAGTATACACAGATATGATGTAACGAAGATTTTTTACACACAGCATTTTCACTGCTCTTGAGGGCCCTCTGTATGGAGACAATGACATTTTAGTTTTGGACAGCATATATTTTGCCTTCCAAATCAAATCTACTCTTCTTCAACTGTTCACTTTAATTTGTGTGCTCTCTACCAGCTTTAAGAAGTGTTAAAATCCAACATCCAAAATGTTTGTTCATTCCCGGAAAAAATTCCTTTCCATTAAACACATCCTTGCAGGTGAATTTATTCTAAACAAAATTTCTTTTAAGAGTTCTCATTTGAATATTAGCACCAGACAGGAGTTAAACAATCTGTTCTCTCTGATCTCACAGGTACACAGTGATATAGTACATAGCTTGCTCCAAAGGCTGTGGCAATAAGTGAAACCATCTCATGAAATAAAAATCCAAACTCACAAATTCCCCCCAAGTACCACAATAAAAGTGTCATAGCTTTTACAGATACTTGCAAGTGTTTATGGTTAGGAGACAGTAGAGATGTTTTTCTTTGAATAAAATGCAGCTACTACTGTTTTTTAGCAGATCAAACATATGGAAAGAGAGGATTCCTCTGAAGACAAATCTCAAAACAAACAAATAAACAAATACCAAACCCACACAATTTGCATTTAAAACTTGAATAGTTTCTCAGACTTTTTCATTCCCCTCCCCAAACACTTGGCTGTAACATTTTTAAAAGGCAGACATCATTTATGTATTTTCACTGCACTGCATCAGCAAGATACTTGGTAAATATGAGTAGTGCTCTTGCAGAGTTGTAATTTACTATTACAATAAAGCTCTTGGTTTTGACAAGAAAGATTACAGAGACCATAATAGCACGGAGCATCACTAGCTAGGTCTAATAATCTTTTAATGCTTACAGGCTACAGCTGGCATCCTCAAAGACATTAATTTGACTACATACCTTTTGTTCGATGCAATTGTAAAATCTGTGGGCTAAGATAAACAAGGAGGCATTTGCTAACCTTTCTCTATTGAGCAGTAGTTTCCTACTTCCAAAAATTAAAAACATCCCAAAACAAATATCCACAGAACTTATCTAATCACTTTTAAGTGCATTATTTCAACACTTAGAGCTGATACTATAGGATCCTTAATTAAATTAAAAATAAAACTTTACAAGATACAATATCTAAAAGATGCAGTACCTTAGTTTGAAATAGGAATTAGTAAAAAATTAACCAATTCAGCCAATTACCAAAGAGCATGACAAACTCCCCCATCATCCCCCATTCTAAACCTTTCAATTTAGAAGCAGCAGTTCTATTCAACAAATTTCGTTTTCCAAAGCTAACTACAACAGTTAGAGAATGAAAATTATGGCCTCCATTGTTAAAATAAATAATATATAATCAGCATGCCTAATCAAAGTAGCCCTCTTCAGCCTCAAAAATTAGGCACAATAAGATACTGACATTCATATCAAAATACTTGTATTATTAAACGGGTTAAGTCACACTTCGTTCACAGCAAGTTTACATATGCCAATGCCTGAAAGGAAAAACAACACAAACCAAGTAGTTTCCCAGATAAGAAAAAGAAATTAAAAGCTATATTGATTGTTTCAGATCAGTTTTTCTCATGTTTTCCAAAAAGTAGCATACTGGGGGGATATAAAAAAAAAATAAGAACAAGCTGGTCTACAGCAGTGTACAAAGGGAAAGAACCAGAGGACAAACAGACTGCGGGGGAAAATTGCACAGAAAACCACAGTTTGCACTCTCTTTTCACACAAAGTGAACAGACTCTTACCTGAAAATCCTCTTTTACAGCTTGTAGGTTATACGCAAAGAACTTCTGATAATGTTGGAAGAGCAGAGTCAATAGAATCGAGATGGCACTTGGGACTAGTAACAAACTCTTCGACAAAGGCGCTTTATCTTAAAGACAAAACAAATAAACAATCAAACCATTTCAGAGAAAAGTCTTTCACATTCAAAAAGTGACATATTTAAACAGGTGACTGGAAGATGTAATAGCAGTGACACTATCTTGACTTTTTAGCTCA